ATCAACTTAATGCTTTTGTTAATTTACCGAAAGTTGGGTTTAAGGGAGATTAAACCCACTATTATGACACTGCATCTTGTTGATCGATCGTTCACAAATCCTAGAGGTATTGTTGAAGATGCGCTTGTTAAGTTGATAACTTTATCTTTCCAATAGACTTTATTGTTTTTGATATGGAAGAAGATTGAGATGTTTCAATCATATTTGGGAAACCATTTTTACATACTGCTAGAGCTCTTATTGATGTTAAGAAAGGAAAGCTTACTTTGAGGGCTCCAGACTAAGAGGTAACTTTCAACATTTATAGAGCTATGAAATTTCCTAATGATTCTAATATATGTTTTGTCGTAAGTGTGGCAAATAATGTCACTAATGAAGTATTTATTAAAAACTATCCCAAGGATCCACTTAAAGCATCTTTGGTTGCTGAATCTGAAAAGGATAATGATGAGTTCTTTGAGTGTGTGAATATGCTAAAGGCTCCATCTTGAGTTTTAAGAGCCCAATTTGAATATTTTTACTTTTCTTCCACTTCAACATCGCTGGCTAAGCCATCTATTGAAAAACCTTTTACATTTGAACTAGAACCCTTGCTTACTCAATTGAGGTATACTTTTTAAGGTAAATCATCAACTCTTCTTGTTATTGTTTTGTCTTTTCTTACTAATGTATAGGAAGAGAAGCTTATACGGGTGCAAAGAGTGCATAAAAAGTCATTAGGATGGACCATTGCTAAAATTAAGGGAATTAATCCTTCCATTTGCATGCATATGATTTTTTTTGGAATATGACTATAAAGCCATCATTGAGCATCAAAAGAGACTTACTCCTATCATGAAGGAGATGGTTACAAAAGAGATCATTAAGAGGTTAGATACGGGTATTATCTATCTAATTTCTAATAGTTCCTAAGTAAGTCTAGTCCAGTGTGTGTCAAAGAAAGGTGGGATGACTGTGGTGGCTAATTCCAGCAATGAGCTCATTCTTACTAGAATAGTGACTGGTTAGAGAGTGTACATGGACTATCAGAAGTTTAATAAAGCCAAACAAAAATATCAATTTCCTTTGCCATTTATAGATTAGAGGTTAGATAAATTGGTTGGTAAGGAGATTTATTGTTTCTTATATGGTTTTTCATGATATTATCAAATTGCAATTGCTCTTGATGATAAAGAAAAAACAACTTTCACATGCTTATATGGTACTTTTGCTTTTCGGAGGATGCCTTTTGGCCATTGTAATGCCCTGCTACCTTCCAGAGATGTATTATGGCTATCTTTTCGAATAAGGTGGAAAATGCCTTAAGGTCTTTATGGATGACTTTTCTATTTTTGGTGATAATTTTGACAATTGTCTTTTTAATCTTGCTAAGGTCCTCAAAGATGTGAATAAATAGACTTAGTGTTGAATTGAAAGAAATGCCACTTCATGGTGCAAAAAAGCATTGTCTTTGGACACAAAGTTTCTAGCAAAGGATTAGAAGTTGATAGAGCCAAGATTGAGACCATCGAGAAGCTCCCTCCACCATTATCAATTAAAGGAATTCAAAGCTTTCTTGAGCATGCTAGGTTCTATCAGTAATTCATCAAAGATTTCTTCAAAATTTCCAAACCACTTTAAAACCTCTTGAAGAAAGATGTTCTTTTTAAATTTGATGATGCAAGTCATGTTGCATTGTTAGAATTGAAAAAGAAGTTGGTGTCTGCACCTATCATCGTAGTTTCAGATTGGAACCTTTCTTTTGAGCTTACGTGTGACATAAGTGACTATGCAGCAGGTGCAATTTTAAGCCAAAGGAGAGTTAGGATTTTTCATTCTATTTATTATGCTAGAAAAACACTAATAGAAATTCGTATGAATTATACCACCACTAAGAAAGAACTTCTTGTTGTTGATTTTGCTTTTGATAAATTTCATTCGTATCTTGTTGGCAATATTATACACAGATCATTCAGCCATCAAGTACTTGATTCCAAAAAAGATGCCTAACCTAGATTTATAAGATGGATTCTTTTGCTATAAAATCAAGTAGCAAATCATTTGTCAGCGTTAAAGAATGAAAAATGAGGTAACAACTCAATTTTGATTAATGAGACTTTCCCTGATGAACAATTGTTCCATGTTGATAAAAAAAATTACTATCGTATGCTGACTATGTCAATTACATTGTAAGTACTATTCTACCTCCTGATTTAAATTTGTGTCAAGCTTATATCTAAATTGAAATCAACCCCATATTGTTTAAATAAGTAGTCCAACCTATATGATTTATTTTTAAATAAGAACTACATAATTATTTTTTAGTAAAAATTATTTTCTTAAGTTTAAGTAGACATTACTTTGTTCAATTTTCTAATTATGTCATTACGTAAAATATTCAACAATGTGAAGGAAGGAAAGAGTTCACAATAATCTCAAACACTTTCAAAATCCTTATTGATCCAATCTCATGATATCCCAAATTAAGTGAGACAAACTATCAAATGACAAGTAAGCTAAATTTATCCCAAATAAGGATTATAATCATATACAAAATGACATATATTCAAATGGAATAACCATATTCTCATTTGAATGCACTGTGTCTATGTGAAAACTTCAGAATTCCAACACTGAAACTAAACTACAACAAACTTTAAACCCAGCAAACTAGCACCCACCCATATCCACAAAGACCACAACTCAGCTTAAAAATAAACACACCAGGAAAATCAATCAAATGGCCTAAAAACACAAAACTAAAGTAGTAGACAGGTAAGAAAAAAGGCACAACAGCTAACACCCAAATCAAAATTTACAAACCAAACCAAACCTTGAAGATAAATGGTAGGTAAGGAAGAAAGTAGAGGAAGCCAATAAGTGTAAGTGCAGTGGCAAGTGGGAGATGACAAATGCAAGTACAACCACAAAGGAAAAAAGAAGTAATAAGAAAGAGGGAAAGTGAAAGATTTTAATTTAGGGTTTCAAACTTTCAATTCAATCGAGAGTGAGGAATGAGGATTAATAAGAAAAGAAGTAATTAGGAAAAAAAAAGAAGGAAAAGGCTGAGGGGGGATGAATGAGACTTACATTTGGAATTTCAACCCCTTTTAGTTTTTTGGTCGATTCAGTTAAGGAGGTACTGTCCTTAGCAACCGAACCACAGTGGCTAAGTAACTGTCAATTGCAACCGACGCCACAACTAAAACTAAATAACCAAGTCCCTTGTGGCCACTGTCGTCGATTCTTATTGGTTGCTCAATTGCAACCGATGGTTGCTTACTCTTAAATAGAGAAAGAAGATGAAGGGAGAAAATGAAAAAAGATAGATTTTAGGCTATAAATAGGATAGGGTACAAGGAATCATTTTGAGAAGAGGAAGAACAAAAAAAATACTAAAATGATGCCTTTTAGATGTAAGGAAAAAAAGAGGAGCAAAAAGTGTTGTTTTGGTTATAAATAAGCCTTAAAAAAAGGGAAAAATGATGCCATTATGAAAATAGGCATGTAGCTTAATTAGCTTTAAAATGATTATAGTTTTAAAATGACAAAAACAATAATCAAAATTACTTGAATGAGTAATTGAGCTTAAGTTTTTTATGATAAAAAGCCCTATGAATTTGTCCTTGAAGTGTGTAAGTGTTTTGCATCAAATTAAGTGCAAAATGAAGTATTTTTCATGAACAAAGCTACATAGGCTGATCTATTTCACATAGAAGCTATTGGATCCTTTGTTGTTTGATAAATATCAATCCCCTTTAAAGGGATCAAACCCTCACTCATAGATTTTTGAATTTTACAACCCAGGGATCAATCTCAAGAAGAAGGGATCAATCTCACATAGCCATTAAGTGCATTTTGTTGCTAAGTAATGGTTATATTCAGTCTTAAATGAACTCCAATGGCTTCAACATCATTGTTAAGTATAAATAGAGCATCATCAACACATTTATAAGGACGATGAGAGAAGAAAAGAGTTGTTCCCTCAAGTAGAGAGATTTATAAAAAAAAAAATGAGAAACAAAGAGAAACAAAGCTCAGAGCAAGCTACATATCATTTTACCAAATATTCAAGTCTTCTAACGCTATAATTTCTTTAGAGGTAGAGACGTTCTAACTTAACCTTGAAAAGTTAGTGAGGTTATACTTTAGCTTTGCAAAGTAAAGAGTAATTTATCTTAGCGTTGAAAAAATAGGGAGGAAATATCTTAGCTTTTAAAAGATAGAGAAGTTATTCCTTAACCTTGGAAAGGCAATTTGAATTGATTTTTATGGATTGAATTCCTTAGCTTGTTAAGGGAGAGGACGTGGGCAAGCGAGAAAATGGGCTGAACCTCTATAAATTGGTTTTGCAATTCTTCTTACTTTTCATTCTTTACATTTGTTGCATTTACTTTCAATTATTTATTCATTAAATTGTTTATCAAATTACTTTTGACATATCTTAATTGAAAAGCAAATTTGAAAAAACTTCTTTTAGCTTGCCTTCTTTGAAAATTTGATTTGTAAAAAAAAAGAAAAATTAAAAATTCAGTTCACCTCACTCTTGAATGACTCTTCATTATATTTGAGCTAAAAAAAAAGGGATTTGTTTGACTTGCAATTCACCCCAAACTAGAGCCGACTCAATTTCGTTTTTAACCCATGTCCTTGCTGGTGGTTTGGGCTCAACGAGATGGCCTACTTCTTTTGAGATATATTGGGCTCCGTCCCTTTTTTATTTTTGTTCTTTTTATTGTTCATTTTTGTTTTATTTTGTTTCTATATTTATTTTTACTTTTAATGATTATTATGGTAGGCTCGTTTTGAAAAAAAATTGTATAATACTTGTAACGACCTCTTCCCTCGATCGTTATCGGCATCCGAGACTTATGAGTGAACCCGTTAAATTTCGAATAAGCCTTACTTAAGCCTTCAAACAATTTAAGCTCAACTTATAATTTTAACACCATAATTCATTTAAACTAAATAATCACAATATTTGAGTCGTGGCATCTAGATACTACTAACTAGGTTTGATAATTCCATACAATTTCAACATAATATGTAGTAATCATTACATAACTTTAAGTTTTAGCAAATACATTACCAATAAACTATTAATCATTATAAGCTCGACTATTTGACACAACCCAACCTCTAGGTAACGGAGCAACTCGAAGTGGAAGTCTAAAAGATGCCATAACCTAGATTGTAGTCGATCTCGAAGTGCTGAACAATGCACTTCAACTGATTACCTATCTGCAAAAGGAAATAAAGGGGATGAGTCTCACAGACTCAATGATCATCAACTCCGTGAGTAGGGCGTAGATGGGAAACAAGCTAAAGGCAAAAGATTTGAATATTAAAAATATAAGAATATATGTAAACAATTTACCCAAAAAGGAAGTTTTGTGCCTTATGTAAACAATATTTGAGTCGTGACATCTAGAAACTAATAACTAGGTTTGATAATTCCATACAATTTCAACATAATATGTAGTAATCATTACATAACTTTAAGTTTTAGCAAATACATTACCAATAAACTATTAATCATTATAAGCTCGACTATTTGACACAACCCAACCTCTAGGTAACGGAGCAACTCGAAGTGGAAGTCTAAGAGATGCCATAACCTAGATTGCAGTCGATCTCGAAGTGCTGAACAATGCATTTCAACTGATTACCTATCTGCAAAAGGAAATAAAGGGGATGAGTTTTACAGACTCAATGATCATTAATTACGTGAGTAGGGCGTAGATGGGAAACAAGCTAAAGGCAAAAG